GACTGGCAGCGGGAGGCAGCTGGATCACCCACTGGAACCAAAAGGCTTCCAGATAATTAGGTATCAGCAGCGGCCTGCCGAAGATTAGACTGTCAGAGCCGCCCAGGCTCAAAACCTCGGGGTGGCCCCAGGCCTTCAAGATAAGGGGGCCAGAGATGAGCACCAGAGGAGTCAGAACTGGGCCAACCCTGGAAATTATCCAGCCAACAGCTGAGGGACAGAGGGAGCAACCGAGGCCCAGAGAGGGAAAAGACTAGTCCAAAGTCACAGGCAAGGTAGGAATGAGGTCAAGGCTAGAGCCTGCTTTGTAAGTGAACTACCCACTTGATGATTTCAACATTTTGTGTCCCTGTAGGAATGCACGGACTTATTCAAGTTCAAGGAGGAGGTTCTTCACTGTGGCTTATATGGTCTCCATTCATTCATTCCGTAGTGCAGGATGGCAGAAGGGAAGCAGGGATGGTCATATCATGGTTTCTGACCATTCATTCATTCATTCATTCATTCCCCAAATATTTGTTGAGCACCTCATAATATGTGCTGGCCCCTCAGGGTATAAATACAGGCACTCTGACTATAGGGAAATGCTTCTTTATTCAACTGTGCCGGCTTAGCCAGTGTTAGGGGCACATCTTCACAATGGTCCCTTGGAAAGCTAGGGACTCCTTCCAAGGAAGCAACTCATGCCCAGAATGTCTTTGGGAACTCCTATTTTAGAATCACCTTCAGATGCAATTTATAAGCCAAGGGGAAAAATCAATTTTGGCACTTTTCAATGATCTCTATCGTATTTTATTTCATTTTTTGGCAAAAAAATGATGATCTCCCCCAACTCCAACACACACACACACACACACACACACACACACACACACACAGGTCACCAGATAATGCCATTTGACTACTAAAAACAAAAATGAACTCATCTTTCAGATGCCTGAAAAGCGTGGGCTCTAGCATCAGACACACCTGAGCTGGAATCCTCAGTCCACCCGCCTGGCTGTGTAAGTACAGCCCCCATTTATCGTCTGTAAAAGAGACATGATGATATGACTCGTCACATCTCTGTGAGGATTAGAGAGGATGTACTTACGAGGTTTAATGCAGTGCCCTGTGTGCAGACAGAGCTCAATCAATGACAGTTTTGTGGTTTCTAACTTCCTAGTGAGGGGGCTGAAGAATTTTACAAACATTTTGGAAGCCCTTGGCCGCCGTGCCCAAGTGCTCAGGCTTTATACACATCGCGTGGGTAACGTGGGCATGTCTGTTACAACACGGCAAAGTACAGAATGGCAGGATCCTTGCTATATCATGCCTGGAGAAGTGCGGGGTTTGGAGGCACTCTCCTCCAGTGCGTCCACTGTTCCGGGTGGGGACAACTGGGGTCCCCTGGAGGGAGAAGACCATCTCCTGACCAGCCCCGCTAGTTAGCGGCAGCCGGTGCCAGTCTCGGGAGGCAGCCGACAGAGCCGATTGAAATCTGCAGGTCCCAAGACTGTCACAAGATCTGGACTCAAGGCTCAGGCATCCCCAGGCCCCCGAGGGTAGGGGCTGCCACCACCCCACTCCAGCGTTGCTCTGTTCTACAAAGGATGGACAGTGGATATGGCTGATGGAGAAGGTGCCAACAAGACAGAGATGAGGCTACCCGCGTGGCCTTCCTCTTCTGTCCTGGAGCCCCGCCCAAACTGTCTTCCAAGCACAGGACCTACATCCAGGTAGTCATTTTACATGCTCTATCACCTCCCACAAGCAGTGTCTTCTCAGAGCCTCACAAAACCCGCTCGATTGTGAAAGGCTGGTCACCACTGCCCCATTTTACAGATGGCAACACGAAGTTATACATGAGTCGTTGGCTTGAGAGCCAGAGCAGGGACTGAAACCTAGAAGCAAGTCTGCTATCTCTCAACCACTATGGGAGCTAACACACCAGGGCCTTCACCATCCTCTCTCTAGCCCCACAGCCAAACAAAATACTTTCTCTGTAAGTAGAAATGCTCCAAGAAGTAAAATGTTAAGCCCTTGAGCCCTAAAGGGGAAAAAGAAACAGCAGAAAGGACTGAAGGAAGAATCACAGAAGGACATGAAATACGTGGTGGGCATGGGGTGGCAGGAAGCAGGAAGGCTTCATTTAGGGCCAGGTAGACTGGTCTCTGTTCCTCATTAGCCACGTGACCTTGGGCAAGTCATCCAGCCTTTCTGAGTGCTCACCCGAGAGAGCATCCAACAAAATGGAAAAGCATGCCTCCTGTGTGCAGGGTGCCTGGCAGGTGGAATTGATTATAACTGTCCCGTGGAATGTCAGGACTGGAAGGGGCTTGAATAATGACCTAATCCTGGCATCTCACCTCACAGACAGGAAAAAACAGGCCGAGAGAAGGGAACTGACTTGCCCAAGGTCACACTGCAAACCCATGTTGATGTTGGGTCCAGCACTCTCAGTTTATACTGAAATCAGAGGCCAGAAACTTTTTCAGTGGTTCCTCCCACCCATGGAATCCTAAAATGTACACATTTTTTCTCCACTTAGCAGGGAAAAATGTGGTATTTCTGCCCAGAAGAAAATATAAAAATTTGAGAAATACTAAAATTCAAACTAAAACCCCAGCTCTTAACAAAAAGGTTCTCTCTTTTAAGGTTTCTTTTTCCCGCCTTCCTCTCTCATTGTTTGCCCGCACCAAATATTTTGCAATAACAGTAATGCTGAGAGGAAAGAAAAAATAAAAATCTGATGCACTTAACAGATATTTCGGTACAATAATGCATCACAGATGTTCATATCAAACTGTGCACGCGCGCATACAATTTTACGGAGAAGGCTGCTCATTTCTGACTTTGGGGTTGAGGACCCTAAACACCCCCATCTGCCCGAGCTCTGGAATCCCTCCCTTCCCAGTTAGCCCACAGCTGCCCACAGGGATGGAGGAGAAATTTCAGCGCCTCGCTCCAAAATGATAACAGGACAAATTGGCGGGGTCGGACACTCTGGCAGGTGGTGAAGGGTGTGCAGATTAGGGAACCAAGAGGAGTCCTGTTTTCTTTTGTTCCGGCCTTGCTTCCTGCAGTCCTCTTGAGGAGCTAGACCCGAGAACAATTTTAAGAGCGGGCCCAGGCTGGTGATGGGGTGGGCCCATTTTTGAAACGAGAGATTTGAGTCCGTTTGATCTTCAAACATGGGCTTTGGAGACTGTCAGCGGGCTCCTTGCTGGCCGATAAATGGCTCTCAGGAACTTTTCCTAAAACATAACTTCACACACTTTACAGCAAATGTTTTCAACCTACCAAAGCCGTCATTTGGTTGAACAGCAGTGTTTCCTTCCAGACACCAAAGAAAGATAGTTTTGTTGTTTTAAGAGAGACAGATTAAAGCCAGGGGCTCTTTGACCAGAGGGTTTCTGCACTCCCTCCAGCTCTCCTCGGATTCCTCTGTGGTTGGTACAAAAAGGGTGCAGACGGTGATGTCGGATGCCCCACCTCCCCGGCCTAAAAAAGATATCGAGGCCAGACGTGAGGTCTCTGAACAGAGAGGCCTCCCACAAACCTGCCTCCAAAATGAGATGGGCGGTGAGCACTGGGGAGCCCGACACAGATAATATCAGCTCCTGAGGCTGGCAAGGGAAAAGTCACTTCAGAGGGAGAAAGCCGGTATGTTCAGAGGATTCAGCGCCCGGGCCAGAGAATGCACAGGATTTTCCCCCGTGGAGAAGGAGTCAGGCGGAGTCAGAACCCTGCGGGGCGTGACTAACTGCCCCAATATTCCTGCCACCAGGGTCCTCTGGGTAAGGACTCCACAATTATGGGAGAGCCAGCAGGAGAACCGACAAACCCGCCTTTCATTTGGCCGGCAAATCAATCTGGCTTCTTACCTCCCCGGGGACGATATTGCATTTCCCCTGGAAAAACAAAGGCCAGAAGATCTCCAAAGGGGGATCGGTTTCTGCCGCTGTTTCCCTGGGGAAGAGTCTGCAACATCCTGGGAGCGGCAAGCAGGTCTGGTACCAGTGGTAGAGCTTCTAGCCTGGCCAACTTATGAGGCTGTCTCCTGAACGGAGAAGCACGTCTTGGGGGCCGCACCTCACCCAGGGCATCAGCCCAAGCCATTTTGGCGCCTCCTTGCAGGAGCCACCAGCCCTGCCGTGGAGCCCCCATCTCCAGATTGACAGCCTGTTCTCGAGGCACAGATGTGAACTCATTGTTCCCAGGGTCTCAGAGTTGAGTTTGGGGCCAGTGAGTTGCAAGTGACCTCTGCCCATGGAGATGGGGCTTTTAATGACATTTTGCTGGATCAGGCCTCGGGTAGCCAGAGACTTTAAACCTCCGAAGCCCTTCCCTTCTCCCTGCCCCCTCTCTTGAGGTCCAGAAATCAGAACTGTCAAACTTTAAGTGAACACATTGCTCTGAAATTATTAACCCCAAAACTATCCTTGTTGACTTTCTCCAGGCCTAGGGAGGCAGTCCGAGGGTCGCCTAGAGCCATGCAAGGCTGGGGCAATTCAGCAGTGCTTAGCCTTCAACAGCCAGCCAGAGCCACATCGACACCAGGTCCACGGCACCTCCCCTGCCCCCAAAGCCGCAGGAACCACGACTCCCTCTATGCATCCTCTGTACATACACGCTGCTTGCCCAGCCGGGCCCACATAGCAGCCTCGGGACAGCCTCCGGCTCGGGGAAGCTGGACACAAACTTGCAACTCACTCTTTTTGTTTTCCTTACTCTGATGCTCCCAGGAAAATTCTTTCCGCTCAGGCAAGCACAGAAAGTGGGGCGTGCCTATCCCCAACAGGTAGCACCACTGAGCTAGAGGCAAACACCCCAACTCTCACCCCGAATTCTAGCACATGCCAGTTTGCCCCCGACCCACCACTAACGCAGCCAGAGAGCCGCCTCCCAGGCCGAAAGAGCCTCTGCCGTTGGAAGAAGGCCAGGGCGCCGGCTACAGAAGGAGGAAGGCAATCGGAAAGGAGGACAAAGGGGGCTGCCCGGTTCAGACAAGCGCCTACCTGGGAGAAGTTGAGACCATTAAGCGGGTGGCACTGCTCCTCCACCCGCTCCACGGCCCCGGTGCTCTTCTTCATCTTCTCGGCCTGCTGGGCCAGGTAGAGATCCAGCACAGGCACGCCTCGGGAGCGCACGTCCGTCTCCGTGAGCGAGTTCACCATGAGCATCACCCACACGGGCCTCTTGCGCTCCCAGTTGCCCGCGATGGCGTTGAACAGGTAGTCGGCATAGAGCCCCTTGCCCCGCTGCGCTGGCGTCATCCACGAGGGCATCATCAGCTTCACGTAGTCCAGGTGGCGCTTCAGGCGCCAGTAGAGGTCCTGCGGCAGCACGTCCTGCAGGTTCTCGCCGTGCGGGAGAAGCTGGCAGCTGGCCAGCGCCGAGACAGTGTAGGGGTCTGTCAGGTCCAGCTCAAAGTAGACGCGGGCGCTGGCCTGGAAGGCTGCCTTGGAGTTGTCCGGGATGAAGTCCCACACGCGGGTGTACGGCACGTGGATGGTGCCAAACAGGTAGGCCGGGGGCTCGCGCCGAATGGTCCACAGGAAGGAGTTCAGCTCCGTCTGCTGCAGGCGGGTGGAGAGAAGGCCAGCAGTGAGGCTGAAGGCAGCAGGGGAGACTGGGGGCAGCCCAGGGAGAGGCGGGTGGGGCTGGGGGTGGGAGGCAGAGGCCTACGTGGGGTCGGGGCAAGAGCCAGGACTTGGGAAGCTGAAGGACCCTCATTCAAATCCTGCCTCTGCCCTGTCGTGGCTGGATGATCTTAAGCACGCTGTTCCGCTTCCCACAGACTCAGTTTCCCCTGTGAAATGGCGGTGAGAGCAGCCACCTCAGGGGAGGATGAAAAATGTAAGGAAGCCCTAAGAGCAGCGCCGGGCACAGAGGCAGTAGGCAATGAAGGACACTCTCATGAGGATTAGCTTGCCCTGCGAGTGCCAGGGACGGACTCCACAGAACCCGAGAATATTCAAGCTGGGCCAAGCCAAACCTTCACCGGTGGTGTTCCATGCGGACGGTGGGGGAGAGGGAGGAGCAAGAGTCCTGCTCTGGCAAGAAGGGAGGAAGTCATAGAACTTTTAAATCCAGCCATTAGAAGATACATGCCAAGAGCACTTTGAAAGCAGAACACCTATTAAAAATAGCACACCTATTTAAACAGCTACTTCCCATTCATCGGGGTGGACACGACGTTCTTGTTGGAGGGCAGGTCTGGGGGGCCGGCTACTAGCTCCACCACAGATGAGAAAGGGCTTGAAAAGCTGCAGGTTAAATACGGACTCAGGGCCCTGGTTCAGGGGGGGAAGATTCCCCGGAATTAGTCCCAAGAAATGTACATCCTCTGGGGCTTCAGGCTCCTCCCCTAAAACGCTGTACCTGGCCTCCAACCCCACCTCTGTCGTCTTCTACGACCGAGGCTCTGAGGAGGAGCATTTGTAGGGGTGAGAAGGGGCCTGGATATAGGGCTCCTTTCTCCAGATCTAGCATAGGACCAGAGCTTAAGGGGCACGAGAAAGAGACTATCATTTCTCTCAGGCAAAGTCTTTTTCCAACCAGAGAAGCCCCTGGACGGGCCACTGACCACTTACAAGCTCGAGGTCAACTCATAAAATTTTTCCGCCTGATTCCAGCACAAATGATGTGACGGGGTGGGTGGGGGAACAGTACCTTATTTTACTAACAACCAAAAATCGCGAATCCCGGCATACTGGAGGTCAACTCGCTCTGAGCTCCCAGCTGGCCACCGACCTCCCCGTTCCCTCACAAATCAGGACGCTGGAGGTGCACCTTGCCCAAGGTCAACTAACTCCCTGCTAACTCGGCAGTGAGTGAGGACCCTACAAAACCTTTTCCTGTTCCCTGGCCTCCAAATAAGTGTTATTTTCAAGGCATTCATTTACACTATGAGGGAAGGAGACCGAGAGAAATCAAGGGATTCTTAGTTGAGAAGGAAAATTAAGAGAACCAGTAATTATTCAACCCCCAAGGAGATATTAGGCCAGCATGCCCTGGCACTTCCTTTTCCTCTCCTCTGGAATCTTCCCCCTTTTTGTGAAATGGGGGCAGTTGGGAGATTGGGTGCTGGGGCCTGGGCTGGAGAGGTAGAGAGAGGAGGGAACCAGCACCAGGGAGAAAGTTTGCCTTAGGTTAGAGTGGGAGGGCAGGGGAGAGGGCAGCCTGAGAGGGGGACAGAGTGGGAATGGGACAGAGAGCAGGTCTGATGGAAGTCAGAACAGAGAAGGGCAAGGAATGGTAGGAACGGAGTCAGAAGTGGGCAGAGAGCAAGCAGAAGGGTAGAGACAAGGATAAAGGAAGAAAGAAGCGAGTCAAAGGGGCACAGGGAGGAAACGTCCAAGCAGGACCAGGACCGAAAGTCGAGGAGAGCCCGAGAGCGTCAGCGTGTGGAGAAGGAGCTGGAGAGGGAGCGCCCCATCTCGGCTCCCGGCACGGAGCTGGAGCCGGGCGGCAGGAACCGGGCGGCAGGAGCCGGGGAAGGGCGCCCGAGGCAGCGGCACCCGGCGAGCGGAGATGGAGCGGGTGGGCTGAGGCGGGTGCGGAAGGCAGGGACCCCCCCCTCGCCCCACCACCACCAGCCCTCGTCCCCACGGGTTGGAGTGGCTGGGCGGCCGGGAGAGTAGCCGGGCAGGCGCTCGCTCACCGATCCGGGCGGCCGGCACTGTCCTCCGTCCGGGGGCTGCGGGAGGGCGCGGGCGGTGGCGAGGAGGGCGGCGAGCAGCGGCCCCGCCAGGGCGGCGTGCATCCTGCCGGGGCCCGCGGGGCGCGGGGACCCTCCTGGGCGGCGCCCCCTCGGCGGGGCGGGGAGCCCCCAGCTGGGCACGGAGGCTCCTCTGGGGCGCGGGGCTCCAGCGGCGGGATGCTGGGAGCCCTCTGGGGCGGGGCTGGGTGTCCCTGCTGGACCTGGGGGTCCCTCTGGGGCGGGGCTCCGTCTGCTGGAAGCGGGGGGACCCTCTGGGGCGGGGCGGGGCCCCTCCCCAGGCGCGCAGCCCCGTTGGCCAAGCCCGGGGTTCTGAGAGCGCGCGGGTCCCGGGGCGCGCCGACGTCCCGGAGCTGCGTCGCGGTCCAGGGGCGCGCGGGGTCCCGGGGCGGTACCGGGCTCCCAGGGCGCGCGGGGTCCCGGGTTACGCGGGGGAGCCGGGCGCGCAAGGGTCCCAGGGGTGCGCGGCGCTCCAGGGGGCGCGCGGTGGGACAAGTGCGGCGGCGGGCGCGGCGGGGCGGGGGTCGGGTCTGGGGCGCCCGGCTGCCCCAGAGCCGGGCTCAGAGGGGCGGCGGGTGGCCGCGCGGCCGCTGCCCGGGCTCCGCCATGCTGCTCCGCGGCCGGGAGGGAGGGAGGGAGGAGGGCGGGAGAGCGCCGCGGAGCCGGGCCGGGCGGGGGGCTGGGGCCGCCGGGGCGGGGGGAGGGGAGGACCCGGCGCGGGGGGCGGGGGGCCGGGGCCGAGCCGGGCCGCGCCGGGCCGGGCCGGGCCGCAGGGAGTCGGGGCGAGCTCCGCGCCCGGGCGCGGCGAGGCGGGGTCTGATGGGCATGGCAGGCGCTCGCTCGTTCCTCTCTCGCTCCCTCGCTCGCTCCCTCACACACGCGCGGAGGGAGGCGAAGCCCGCAGCAGCCACTTCCCCACTTTCCAAACTTCCCAGCGCAACTTTTTCCTCTCCTCCCCTGCCCGTGCCTCCTCCTCCCCCATCGCTCCCCCTTCCCCTGGCCCGCTCCCCGCCGGCCGTAGCTTCCGGGCGCGGCCACCAGGGGGCGCCCGGGCCGAAGCCCCGCTCGGCCAACTTCTGTGGGCTCTTCCGTGGACACCGCTGGACGATGAATTCGGGGACACGGACCAGCATCGCCTAAAGCATCTGATGCGCAGGTCCTGACGGGAGTTAACAGCGAAGGAGGCAGGAGTGGGCAAGCACTCCCAGACTGGCTGGGAAGGCAGCACTCAACGGAAATCCAGGGAAGCTGGTAATTACAACTTTGTATCACACCGTTCCTGGCTAACACTGGCACGCGCTTAGTAGGTGCTCTGCAAACTCTAGTTGAATTAAAACAAAACAAAACAACAAAGTAATCTTCCTCACAACTCATTGGCACCTTCCATTTAAACAGTCTTCTCCCATTAACTGGACCTGCACAGGATCCCTGTAAATGGCCGGGGAGCAAGGAAGATTCATAGTCTCAAATCCTTAGACCATAGGAATTGAGAGAGCCCTTAAAACCAACCTTCTGTTCTTGAGAGGCAGAGGAAGCTTCAAGGAAACCAAAGGACAGGGCACATGCTTCTGGGCCATTTTCAGCAAGTGGGGAAACTGAGTCACAGGCACCCTTGCTTAGTTCTGTTAAATGAAAGTTCACTGATTCCTCCTATGCTGACAACAGAGATTGAAGTATGAATTAGGTAGGACTGTCAGGAGCCCATAGCCTAGAGAGAAAGACAGGGACAGTCATGCAAAGAGGCAATTAAAATCAGACAATGAGCGCCAGGACAGAGAGAAGCACTGCCAAATGGGAACAGAGAGGAAGGTCTCCTAACGCAGCTCAGAGGCTCAGGGAAGACTCCCGGGAGTGGTCTTGAATGGTATGTCACAGGCTGCTGAGTGGAGGGGCTGCACAAAGTCTTCCAGGTGAAGGAAGAGCAGGTGCCAAGGTGCAGAGGGGAGAGGGCATAGGTGCCCGCAGGGGACTGCAAGCAGCCGGGCACGGCCGGAACAGGAGGCCAGTGGCAGGAGCTGAAGTCTTGTCTTCTGGCCCTGCTGGAGAGTTTGTACTTTCTATGTACTAGGGGCTAGGGAGCGCTCATGGCAAGATTTGAAGTAGAGGGTAGCTGGAGCTGACCTGTTCTTTGAGGAGGCATGACTGTAGGTGGTGAGTTGGGGGCAGAGAGGTCGGTGGGCAGATAGGCAATCAGTGCAGAGGTGACCTGACTCCCAGACCAGTGCTTTCCCAGCACTCTGGAGCACTCTTGTCTTCAGGCACCAGATTGAACAGCTGGAGAACGGCCACTCTAGAAGGTTGGGCAAGGAAGACGGGGCTGGGCCGGGCTGGAGGGGCAGAAAGGCTTCCAGAGCACAAGATCTGGGCCTTGGGGCAGAACACGGAAGGGAAGGAGGGGGACACCAGAGACTTGCAGGTTGAACCACATGAGATTGCCGTTTCTGTGGGCCAAAACTAACCCATGTTGGCAATCTCACATGGTTCAGCCAACTAGGTATTCGGAGCAACCTCAGTCTCAGCCCGAGCATACATCTGGCGACAGATGCAGAGCAGGCCAGAGTGCCCAGATGGGCCGAGACAACAGTGTGGCTCCATGTTTCCCTCACCCAGAGCCCTGAGAACTGCAGCTGTGACAAAAGAGAAGTCCCTTAAAGAGCCCCTGTTCCCCGAGGCTCCAAAGCTCCCACAGCACTTGGTAAGGATGAGGTGAAACAGTTGGGAGGTGCGAGGAAGAGTTCATTCCACTGAGATGGAGTGTGATGGTCTTCATGGGGAGTTAGAAGGTAGAGGATAAGAAAGGACCTGATCAAGTTAAAAATGGATCCATATAATTAAAGTGATGGTGCCTGTGAATATGTGCGTGTATGTGATTTTAAAAATGTTCTAAGGCCTTTTTTCCCCCTAAAATTATAAAAGTTTCATTGGCTAATTGTCATGAGTACCAGCTATGACTTCTTCCTTCATGGTGCTATCCTATGGCTGTGTGACCAGGGTCAAAACAGTTACCTCCCTGTGCCTCTCTTTCTCCATCCAGCTTCCTGTCTTTTTTTTTTTTTTTTTTTTTTTTTTGAGAGAGAGATTGAGCTGGAGAGGGGCAGAGAGAGAGAATCTTAAGCAGGCTTCACACTCAGTGCAGAGCCTGACATGGGGCTGGATCTCACAACCCTGAGATCGTGACCTGAGCTGAAATCAATAGATGGACACTTAACCGACTGAGCCACCCAGGCTCCCCGCCTGTCCTATTTTTTGAGTCAATGTGTGCAATAATACTTAGAATCTCCACCAGCACTGTTACCGATATTGTTAATAAGATGCAAGAACAAACAGGTTTTTCCACTCCTAGGTGGAAAGAGAGTTGAAAACATTCATCCATACAAAGTAGTAGTATTGTTCAAAATAACTAAAGGGGACAAACAACCCAAATGTCCATCTATAGATGAATGGACATACAAAATGTGATATATTTTTATGCTGGAATATTATTTGTCCAGAAAAAGGAATGAAGTACTGATACACGCTACAATGTGGATCAGCCTTGAAAACATTACACTGAATAAAGGGAGCCAGCCACAGAAGGGCATATATGAAAATATGATATGATTTATTCATACAAAAGGTCCAGAAGCAGCAAATAATAGAGGCAGCAAGTAGATTAGTAGTTGCTTAGCATTAGGAGGAATGGGGAGCTTGGGGGAGCTTGGGGGACCTTGGCTGAATGGTACTGGGTTGCTTTGGGGAGTAATGAAAATCATCTAGAATTAATTGTGGTGAATTAATTGCACAACGCTGTGAACATACTACAAACCACTGAATTATACACTTTAAATGGGTGAATTGTATGGTGTATGAATTATATTTCCATAAAGCTGTTACCAAAAAAACAAAAAACAAACAAGTTGGGGCCCCAGGAGAAGGTGTTCCTCAAGAACAAGGGTCTTAGTGTTTTCCAACAATTTTCTCTCCCACCTGGTGGGGCGAGAGAAGCCCTGGATGGACAGTCCTAAAATCCTAGAGATTCACTGTGCTTCTGCTACTGCCTCACTGAGCAGCTTCAGGGAGATCTGTTGGCCTCAGTTTCCCTGCCATCAGTATGAACAAGCTCATGGAGCAGTAAACCATTAAGAGTCTTCTGTGTCCAACACTAGAGTTCAGAATCCCATGGCCACTGCCTGCCCCGGGGCCTATAGGCAGGATGGGAAAGGCACCGGGGCTCAGGAAGCAGGCAGTGGACTCAGCCACCCGCTTCCTCTCCCAGTGCATATCCGGCCCACTTTCCTTTTATTGCAATTTAATGAAGTTGTTCAATCAGATGGGTACCAGGAATCTGTAGGCTATAACAGCCCGGGCAGACACAGAAGCCTTGTAGCGTAACTAAACCAACAAAATCTGCCTCTTGAGCAGATCCAGGAGCCCCAGGGCCTGCCAAAGGGCGTCTCTCAGGGAAGGAGATGAGGGGCTCCCTGCTCAGCTGACCTAAAGGAGTCATTTTGCCCTGGGCTGGAGGGCTACCCTCTGGCCAGCCATTGCCTGGGTCACTGACCCTACTGGTGTTTTCAAACGGGCCCCACCAGGCCTGACTTACAGTTCAACTGCTATCCCAGTTGTGCCCATCTCTCACCCACCCAGAGCTCTGCCTTCTTTCCCAGCCTTCCTTGTCTGGAAGTTAATCCTTGATGACTGAAAGACAGGGCTGCATTGGAGGTAGGGGGTGTGGAGGAAGGAAAGCAGACTCCAGGACCCTGCAGCATCAGCAGTGCTGAAGACAGTCTAGAGTGATGGAAAGAACTAGAAAATATCAGACACTGAGATGATTCAGAAAAGGGCATTCCCTCCTGGAGTGGGGTGATAGACACAGGATCATAGGGTATGGATTGGAGTTGCTATACAGATGGCATTCCTAAAACAAACAAACAAACAAACAAAAAACAAAGCAAAACAAAAAACAACTTAAAAAGAATAACTAAAAAAAAAGAAGAAGAGGAATTAAAAAAAAAACAAAAACAACCCACCTGTGGTCCAGCTCAGTGGAGGCGTGGAGAACAGGG